GTTGCGATGTAACGAGAGCAACGTTCCTTGGCACACACACATTTAGATTTCTTGTGCTTTACTAGTCTGTATCGAGTTACACACACACACACATATTTTTATGCTCACACTGATTTTCATAATTTAGAGCAATTTTATTTTTATTAATTTAATTTTATATATCGCGCGCTACCTCAGCTAATTACACACACACACACATACATACATATGTACATTAGTGTTTTGTTGAAATGATAATTATTAAATTTCTTGGGTTGATAAATGGTTGAATAAAAAAAAGTGCAATGTTGTGAAAAATCGCAAACAATATTTACAAAATTTCCTCTTTATCCAAATAGTTTGTAATTTATTTAAATAGTATAAAAACATTTATATAAACTTACACATTATGTATATAGATAACTATATATATTCATACATATATTTTAAAATACACATAACGTTTACGTACGTATGTACATATAAATAAATAAACATATTCCGTATGGCATTTTCCGACTGAGCTCATTGATTGTTCACGAAATTTGCAGATTTTTTGTCCAAAAGTTGTGTTTCATTATTTGAATGTTTTTGCTTTTAGTGAAATGGCCTAAATTTGTATGTATGTGTTCGTATTATAGACACACACTCTTTTCGTAGAATATTTACGGTGCGTTAATGGTGACTATGTACTATGTGCGTATAAATATGTAATTGTAATAAACTTATGAAATCGATTAGCTCAGGCTTAAGCGTTTATTTGCGTTTCTTGCACACTGCGGCTTTGAACTTTTTCCAATGTATTTGCGTATTTACAAACTACAATTTATATTTTATCCATCCATCTCCAGCAATAATTTTCATTTTGTACTCGAACCATTGCTAAATACTACTTATGAAGAATAATACATACAACATATTTTTTTCTAATCACCATTCGTAAATAAGTAAGTGTGTATGTATGAATTAACGTTTATTGTTCGCAAATTACATAGCATTGACTCACAAATAACTGAATCTAAATGAAATGAATTTATATAATAATAAACGACAAACGAAAAGTTTGTATGTATTTTAATATTTTAATAAATATTTACTTATATATTGTATGTTTCCTTGGTATTTCTACATAAAAAGCACGCTTTTGGTAAACAAAAATACAAATATAAATACGTATATTAAGTGATAGTGAAATGAGAAATGTGAAATGTGAAAGTCTTCATAGTTGTAGTTATAACTCACTTCAGTGATTTTTTCAAGTACATAAATATGGGTGTTTCCATAAAAATGTTAACCGACAATGCAAGTAAAGGAATTCAAACGGCTTTATAAATTTAAATTTCGCATTCAGATGGCGAAAAAAGGTTATGAAAACACGAAACAATGGAGAGAAGAACTAAAAAAATTAAATAAAAATTTAAATATAGTATGTGGTACTAGTAAAAATATTCCGATATGTCACACCCATTATCAAATTTTAATTCAAAATTAAATCAACAACGAATTGCTTCTGATTAAGAATGAATTGGTTGTAAGGGTCCATAATTTGACTTCATTTAAAGAATGTTTAGTAAAGGAAAACCTTAAAGGATTCGCTGAGTTTTGCTTATTTTTTACATGCGCTCTGAAATCACTTCTTTTTATGTCACGTCCGTTGTGCCCTCCTTTTTATCGATTTTCTCGACGTCAGTGTGGCTAGCGCACCTAATTTTTTTGTCAACCAATGGACGATATAAAAGCTACACAACGGCACATTTTTTTTACAAGTGACTTCGGTTTTCGTATAATTTATTTAACTCTAAAGTCGTACGAATGTCACGTCCGACACCATGGAAACACCCATATGTATGTATGTACATACATACTTCCATAGTACGTTGTTGTTTTTGCTTTTCATTACGCCTTAATTTAAAGTACTTATAACAAAAGTTTTTCTATATATATATATCACTGACTAACTAACCATTCCAATTGGCATTCCACGTTTTCGGAACGTATGTTTAATTATACAGAGTGTCCTAGACCATCCGTATACCATTTAAAAAAGGACGAGTTAAAGTTCAAATGTCATTTAGAGGTTGAAAAAGGCACTTCCTAGAAAAAAGTTTCAAACGAAAATTACGTATTTGTATCCTTAGAATCCAAATCAGTACTTCCGGTCAGTTTAACCCACTTCCGGTCGAAACCAGTCGAAGCCGGAAGTCGGCAATAGCACCAAAAGATAGAGCATCCCCGATTTAGTAGGTAAAATTTTTGCGGTTTTCAATAAAAAAACATTTTCCTACATTTTAGAGGGGTAAACCTGTGGTCTAGGACACCCTGTACATATTCATATATGTTTGTTACGAGTACAACAATCTCTTCATACTTACTATGTACTTACATTCATATACATATGTATATGGTCCTATCTCTAGAACTTTTGATATTCGACATTAACCGATTTCACCTTATTCTTTGAACCTTAAAACATAAGTAAAAAATGGAAACTCAGACTTCAAGCTCGGTAATGTAAAAAAAAAAAAATAAATAACAATCACACAGGACTGCAAAAACAAATCGAATAGAGTCGCGGAACACGAATCTGAAGTCCGTTTCGATCCACCACGTCGGAATTTATTTTATAACTACAAAAAACACGGCGACCTTTATAAGGTGCCAAATCTTATAAGAATTACGTTTTTTTTTTTCAAAATTTGACCGCCATATTTGGAAAATCTGATTTCATATTCGGAACCAGTGGGTCCAAAAACCTCGGGATACCAAGCTCAACAACAAAGAAAATCCATCAATATTTGAAATGTATTCTCTGTCACATAAAGTCCGCCATGGGTTTTGAGGTACGAAAAAATCCTGACGTGATGGAGCAAAACGAAATTCAGATTCGTGTTCAGCGACCCCACAAACATTGTCTGCTATATGCCATTTAGGATTTACAGCAAGTGCGACGATGTCACTAAATCCTCATTAGTGACGATGTCACCAGTGACCATTTTCGCTACTGGGGAATTTATATATATTTATGTATGTATGTATGTACATATTCACATATGAAATGAATTGAAAAAATTCATACATACATACATCCACACACTATTTCTTGAACATACGTATTTTTTATTTCGTAGCTTTGAAATTAACTTCTATGGCAAAAATTCACAAACCTTATTCAATGAAAATACATTATTAAACACATTTTGGTGAACCGATGCGTATAAATGTATGCATACTTAATAATTGTACAAAATGTTTTGTGATCTCTTAATTAAAAGTAAAAATGTTAGTTTCTCTTCCGTTCCAAAGTATGTAATTTGCAAATGCAAGCAGGTAAAGTGCAATAAAATGTATCCACTATTTAATGTTGGCATGAAATGACCTTAAAAATTATTTAATTCTTTCCATAATTTTTTGGTAGTTGAATAATAAAATAGTATGAAAATCTATTATTTAGTTAAAACGCTTTAAATGCGCGCCTAAACTGCTTAAAACCTTATTTTTATGTATCCGTTAATTTAATCATCAAAATTTATTAGTGGCCTTAATTTCTTTCACGAGTAAATAAAGTGCGAAACCTTAGTCAAGTTTATATTTTGGAAAGTTGGAGGATTCCAATATACACTTAGTAGTAGGTCCTATATTGTTAGAAATGTTTGTACCAAATTTGGAGAATCAATCCATATTACTTCGATTTTTTTTTTTTTTTTTAAATTTGATTTTTTCAATAAAAAACTTTTGCGAAATTTTAATAGATTTTTCTATTATTCAATCATTTGTAGTCGCAGTGTGAAAGACATATATTTCCAAAGCGATTTCTCGTACATCGGCCGAGATAGCCAAATAGCCAGAAAGAATTGAGAGGATATTTTCAGTGGGTGTTAGCCCCGATGCATGGATATCGCTTTCCATTGAAATAACTACCATATTTAACATTGCGTTCGCATTGGAATTAGCGCTGGCAAATTTCTACATAAAATCACTATTTCGGAACCAGTAAACAGGAGCGATTTTGAGGCAATTTTTGTTCTTTGTTCTGAAGCCAATAGGAAAAAACAAATATCAGTTTAGCATAAACAGTCGCCCCCTGTACATACCCTTAGACTAGTAGTTAGTTCAATTCTAGTTCGAATGGACTGGAAGTTCGAATGGGCTGCATTAAATTCGAACTATTTACTCTAGGCGAACCGAAAATTTGGAACCAGTATGTAAAGCCATTTTCACGCTGCAAGCATTTTCTTACTTTCAAGAAAGATTGAAAAGAATGTTATCATCTAAGTTCTATTTACTATACTAAATACTTAAGTATTGAATATGTGTAATAAAAATTGAGTGATGCACAAGAAAGTGCGTTAAAGATGAATTTGAAAACGAAATTGGAAGGCTTCTTTTTTAACCGAGTACTAGCTGCATTGAAAAATATTGTTGGAACTGCAAAGCCAATTCCAGATTAGATACGAAGCGGTAACTCTAGTTTAACCGTAGTGTGCATCAAATACAAATAAATAGTTGTCTCAATTTGCCTACTTTTATTACATATTATTATTATATTATTTAGTCGTTTCTTTGTGTGTAAATAATAATACCAATTACAATCTTTCTATATATAAATATTGCATTTTGGCATTTAAAATATTATTTTTCTTTTTTCGTTTTCTTTCTTCTTCATATAATATTAAAAAAAAAAAAAACAATTTAATACATATTTATATATGTGGCTGCAACATATATACATATAACTGTACATGTAAATGCATTAAATAAATATTATGGGTTCTGTTTTTACTACTACCACCACTACCATCACTATTACTACTACTACTACTACTACTTTGTACCACTACTACTACTACTACTACTCCTACCGCTTATTTGATTCAATATTAAAAAAAAAAAATCTTACTGATAACAAAAAAACGTATGTTGACTTAAACGCTAACAAACAAACCATCCAAACAATCGACAAATCAATCAAAAATTCTACCAACCAATCTGCCAATAATCGATGAAAACTGTAATAAATCCAGCGATGTACAAACAAGTAATAAAAACAGTGGAAGCTGTCCTAATAATAGCAAAGGAAATCACAACCACAATTACCATCATTGTCACCACAGTCACAATCTTCACAGTCATAGTAATGGCAATGGTCATATCTTCCACCAAAACCACAACCACATTCAGTTTAATCATAATGTTATCAATTGTAGTAGTAATGGCAATAGTAACTGTAATAGTAATCATCATCACCATCATCGTAATAGTCAAAGCCAAGCCCATCATCACCATTATCGCCAAACACACCACAACCACAACCACAACCACCAAAATCACTTTCACCACCAATCGCAACAACAAACGCACCAGCCATATACCCACCAAGGCTCTAGCTCTGGCTCAGCATCAGCCTGTAGTTCCACATCCGCTTCATCCTCTGGCAATCCATCCAATACTAGTTCTCCACAACCGGCGTTTTATTCCAACGCGACTACTGCCAATCTAACCTCCCTATTATCCCCAGTGCCCCTGTCTCCAACAAGTAGTATATTTCACTTTCCGAACCACAGTCCCAAGCCGCCGCCCGATTCTCGTTTGTGTGAGCTTGCGAACAATATCACCATTGCACCTCTGTCACCTTCAACAGTGAATGTTGCCACACTTAACAATTGCCACCTAAAAGAACCGGAAAAGAAGTCTAGCCTTAAATTTCCCGCGTTGTTGTCACCGCTTCAGATATCCCTTACGACTAGCGCAACAGCGGTCGGCTCACACATACCTCTGACCAACTCCTGTTCCTCAAATAATTACCTACAAACCCGTCCTAGTCTGGGTAATCAAAGTTCCAAGGCCAGCTCTAGTTCACATCAAAACTCAAACTATGTCCAAGTTCGCAACCAAGTGAATCAAAATCACCATTACCAACACAGTAATCGACAATCCCAACTGAATCATAACCACAACCACAACAACAACCATACCCAAACTGTAAATCCAAATCATGCAAGTCATAGTCACATCCACATCAATAATAATTTTAATAGTAATAATAACAATAGCAATCATCATCAACAAAATCATAGTCAAAATCAGAATCAAATTCATTACCATCACACAAACAAAAATCCAAATCACAACCACAATCAAAATAAACCGACTAATCACCAATCCCACCTCCCGCTAACAAATACAAATATAATTTCCACAAACACTACTACAAAGTCTACAACAAGAACAACAACTGAAAATTGTAACTGTACTGATGATGTGAATGTAACTTCTTGTACTGACATAATTTCTCAACGTGAACCAACAACAACAACACCAACATCACCACCATTGTTGTCTCCAACACATCCATATCAAATGATGCCACCACCACAACCGATGAATAACCATCAACCGCAACAACAACGACGATGGCGACAACAACAACAACAACAACACCCGTTGTTATTGACAACGGCGACAACCACTGGAACAATGATACAAACTGCACCTTCGAATCAACAATCACAATCACAATCGCACTCCCAACAACATCAACAACATCAACGCGCTTTGGGCGCATCCTCAATGTCTTCCCGTTGTTCATCGGTAACAACATCTCCATCACCAACAACAATGACATCACCAATGGCTACAATGTCAAATCATTTGATTTTTAATGGAACAACTAAAAATACTATAAACAATAAAATCACAACAACAACATCTCCAACGAATGTACCTGCCGCAAATGGGACGATGACAAAACCAACAACAACAACAACAACAACAACATTACCAACTGCATCAACAACTTCATCCATATTGAACCCATCATTGTACACAACAACAACAACAATAACAACATCGTCATCGTCCATGCAAAAAACGCGAAATCGCCATCCGTCCATTCCGGCTTACGCGTCTGCGATCTCTAATTGTTCTCCTTCCACTTCTACTTCCTCCGCTCTTCTTGCATTCTCTTCTCCTTTTTCATCTTCTTCTTCTGGAATCTCTGCGAACTCGTCGGAAACTCAAACCCATGGGGCATCATCCTCAATGCCTGTCGTTGATGTGCGTGCCTCTTCCTCTGTCCCAACGACGGAGCCGTTCAACACATTGAATGTTCTTAATGAAATGAACAACAACAACAACAACAACAATTATAATGATAATAACATTATTTTGACACACTCGACTGATGGCAACTTGATTTGTGATAATACCAATAATATAACAAACAACAATATCAACAGCAGCAACAACAGCAACAACAGCAACTACCATCAACCATTCAATTCTATGGATTTTGGACAGCAGCAACACTTGCGACACCACCTACGCTTTAGCAATAATGGTCGTGGCAGCATGGATAATGGTGGTAGTCATGGTGAATATAACAATAATAACAACAACAACAACAATTACCGACGCCCTGGCGGAAATCAAAATAACAGTATTAGTGGTAACGGTAACTCTATGATGCAGCACCGCCATAATGGCGAATATTATGGCAGCAATCATCACAACCAACAGAATCACTATCAGTACGGTGAGCAGAATCGTCGGCATAACAACAACAACAACAACAACAACAATGGCAACGGCAGTAATGCATCTAACTCAGGATTATTTGAAAGAAATAATAGCAACAGTGGCAATTTGAATGGCAATACCAGCAGTGGTATGAATAACATGGTGAGTATTTTCGTTAGCGCATAAACATATGTATCTATATAAATGAACATTAGGGTGTCTCAGAACATAAGAGGCTAATTTTATTTTTTTTTTTGCGACTCGATGCATAGCCTCTTAATATTTCTTCTTGACCCTTGGCCTTACGAGCATCTACGAATTGGAGTTTTTGTTGCTGTATGATGAGCGTCTAACGCGCGCTAACATGTGAACACCTTGAGCAAAATGCAAGGCAATGTAAGCGCGCGTTATCAAGACGCGCCTGTCGTCATGTGAAGGGGGTTTTTAGATACCCACGCCGCGCGAAAATGTGTTCATACTTCTCACACTTGATGAATACATCATTTGTGCGATAAACGAGCTCAATCTTAGTAACAGTGGCTCAAAAAAGTGTTCACGTGTTGATTTTTCTTTTTATATTCACAATATTTTTCAAGGTAATTTTTTATCCTACAAAAATAAGTTCCAAGCTTTAGTCGAAACCATATAAATCAAAGTTTCAAACTCTATACAAAATTTAGGAAAAATTCAACAAAATTTAGAGCTTTACACACAATATTTACAACATTTTTGTATATGCCGTTTTATAGCCCATACAATTTTAGTCTAAAGAAGTGTAAGTTTCAATCGGCATACAGTCCCGCAGACTTTTCGGAATTTTTTTAGTGACTGCTTTTGCGGTGCTTTGTACTATAACCAGTGTAATTTACAAAAACTAGCGTGGATTTTTACAAAATTCATTGCGAACGGTCTCCCGAATTTTATTTCATAAGAAACTAATGCTTATATAGAAACAAATGCGAAAATGCGTCAGCAAAAAAAAAAAGAAGAAATTATTACAAATCAACGCGGTTTTTTAGCCACTTGAAAATTGCACTTCATGACGCCAAGGCTTAAATAACATTTTGTAGAAAAATTACAAAAAAAATTTACTTTAAAAATGTTGTGAATATTAAAAAAATCAACACATGAACACTTGTTTGAGCCACTGTACATGTGATTTTAGGTTATCAACATGCTATTGGAAGTTAAAAAAAGTGAGAGTAATTTTGTTAATTTTATTATGTACATACATACGTTATTTAGGTGAAAAGGAAAAAATAGGGGTGTGGATATCGACCCAGTGGGAAAGGGTAATGCAAAGGAATACAAAAAGTAACCTACGCACGAAAAGAAGGCAAGAATTTCTCCACAGGAGTGTCATACGAAAGTATGCATTGCGCTTTACGAAACTATAAATGGAATTAAAAAAAAAAAAAAAAATAAATAAATACAAATAAAAAATGAAGTCCGTGCCACAGGTTTTGAGCCCGTGACCAACACAACACGGCAGTCGAACACCCATCCATTCGGCTGCAGCAGCTGTTGAGATAACGTGAAACAAACGTTTTCAAACTTTTTGTTTCGTTAGTGGTAACGGTTCAAAATTACACTCATCCGCTCGCTTACATTGCGATGTAGTTTTTCGTTCAGCCGTACTTGTTAATCTTTTCTTGGTAGAAAAATGGAATGAATTCCCATTTTCCCACTGGAGAATTTCAAAAATACAATACAAAAATTTGACTATTGTTCTGCAACACTCTAAAGTATGTATGTGTGTTCTCTAATACTGTGCACTCCAGTCCAATTTTGAACATTCATGCCGATTTACTTACATATTTTTTCACAGCACTTTGATGGCCATAACAACAGCAACCATTCCCGGAACGGGGACTTCCACAATGATAATCGTCCTGAACGTGGAGGAGGAGCAGAGCTGAATATCAGCGGCGCCGGTAGCAGCAATGGGTACGGTACTTTGCGTAATGGTAATAATTATGGCCGTAACGGGCATCAGAATGGTGGTTCCGGCTCCTTCCATTACCACCACCATAATAATTACAACAGCAACGGACCCTCAACTTCGGCTGTAGCCTTAGCAGGTGGCAGCAGTAGCGTTGCCAGCCTACTTGACGGACCGACTGGCTCTTCTGGTGCTTTAGGATCCACCACTTCGCTCAGCAGCGGGCCCAACGGTTTGAAATCGGACAGTCCTTCGCGCAAAAGACGCCGCATTTCCGGTCGCATGCCCAGCCAGTCACCGCCTGCAATTTGGGAGCAACGACGCTCGCCTCGCACTCAGGTTAGCGCGCCTACATATGTACATATATCTGAGAGGAACTATGAGATGCTATTTAACTGTTTTATGGCTTCTTTTTCAGATGCAGCAGGGAAGTCCACCGATACGACGGCCACGCTTGCGCGAGCCTGGACCGTCACAGCAAGTGCATGGTCACCACATAAACAACACTGGCAATGGCAGTAATAACAATAACAATAATACCAATACCGGCAGCAGTAATCATTTCCAGAGCTATCACCAGCCACAGCATTCTTTACAGCATACGCCATATTACTTGCGCCAACATATGCCGCCGCCAGCACTTCAACAGCAACAGCAGCAACAACAACCACACCAGCCGCAGCAACCACAGCTCCAACAGCGCTCACCGTGGGAACATTCGCTTGCTGCAGTGAATGCTTTCATTCAACAAACGCCGCCCCCGCCACCGTCGCCCGGCCATCACCATCAGACGTCCCTTGTGGGCGCGCCACCCCCACCGCCACCACTGATGTTGGACATCAACCAAGTTCCTGTCAGTCTACCATTGCGGCATGCCGAACCCATTTGGGCGTCTATTTGCACCTATCCCGCGGCACCGCCGCCACAAGCCCGAATAGCCCCTTGCCACTTGCACGGCATCTATACACAACCGTTTGCTGCTCAAGCGTGCAACACGCATCCCAGCACTCAATTCGCACCCGCAACAGCTGGTTTCGCTGCTGCTGCTGGCGCTCCAATACAGATGCCACAGGCGCAACAGGTGCAGGTGAGCGCTGCTGCAGCCGCGCAGCAACAGCAAACGCAACAGGCTGCCGCTCTAATGGCAGCTGCGTCAGTAGCCGCAGCCAACTACCAACATGCTCATTTGACCCAGCAACAACGCACAGAAGCCAGTGCGGCTGCGGCCGCTGTAGCCGGACTTTCGCTCGAACAAGCGACCGCCCACCACCTGGATCCCCATCAAGGCCATCAGGCGGCTGTAGCTACGCCACCGACACATCATAATCAGCTGCAGGCAGCACCAATACACATAACCTCAATGTCGGCCGTTGCGGCTGCAGCCGCGCATCATTTGCGCACTACCGCCACCGCAGCTGTCTCGCAAATGTCTGCGGCGCCCCAGCCGATTCTTGTCTCAACAGAAGTAAGATATTTTAAAAGTATAGATGCTAAGTTTCAAATAAAATGTGCTTAATTTTCTTGGTCACAGAGACGTGTTTTCCCACCTCACCGTCGCATTACTCGTTTCTGGCCGGCAAACCATCCACATGGACCACACCGGCATATGCTTCCACCACAGGCGTTGGGTCCGCACCAAGCGACTCCTGTGCAGATTCAAACAACAACGGGAATCATAAACCCGGGCTTTTTACTTAATTTCCTGTAAATATACATACATATTTGCGCTCACCATTTCAAATAAGAAAAGTGAAATCGTTCTTTTTTTTTCATACAGAGCTATGTTCCCGCTCTCGCCATATAATCAGCATGAGTTGAACTCTCCAGACTCCAATGAGACGGAAAATTACGAGGCGTTGCTTAGTTTGGCCGAACGTTTGGGCGAGGCAAAGCCACGTGGCTTGGCGCGGAATGAAATCGACCAGTTGCCAAATTATAAATACAATCCTGATACTCATAACGGTGAGTAAAAACAATTAAATCGAATGCAGTGGCTTCGTTTGTGTCTTTAACTTATTTAAGGATACACAGCCTGAAAGTTGGTTGCTGAAAGTAATTTTTTGAATAAAGAAATTCTACTCTTGTAATTTCCGTAAACTCCTGAGCAGTTTGAAGTTGCATGCGTTAGCTTATCCGCTAGAATTATCGAGACACAGTTCCGTCTTTACCCTGGGAAAGCCTCTATGTACAGGCAGTACAGCGACTCCTATCGAGACCAAAATTTGTATGTGATATCTTCGACTATAGTAGTACCAATTGGGTATTAGATAAAAAAAAATTAATTTTAATTTTTTCAGTCTCTCTAAGGACTACCCTAATGCACATACATAGCTTTTCAACGCTTTTAAATCATTGTGGTGTCTCTTTCCCCCTTCACATTATACGTGAAACCTGATTCCAATGTGTCTATTACAACTGTATAACATTTAAAGTCCGATTTTTAAATAAAACTTGGTTTATACGAAAGCGTGCTCTATGTGGGCCTATGAGCGTTCGCCCGGCAGTAGGGTCTAGCGTTGGAACTTTTAGTTGATTTCGATGATCGAATCATTCAAGTGAACTAATTCATTTAGTTCATTCTCGTTCATTTAGTGAATCCGGGCAACAAAATACAACATTTTATTTAGAATAACATTCAAAGATAACATAAATATTAGCTTTCTTATAAGCAATTCACTATATGTAGGCTTTGTAACAATTCATGGCAATGTAATTAGCAACCTATAGCTTTTACAATATTCACGAATAATTTAAAATGTAGCTTTTTTTCGTTGATATTTTGAAAATGGCAACCTGGAGCAAATAGTTAATTTTAAATTTCGAACTAGTTCGTTCGATCAATGCAATTTCCTATTTCATTCAACGAATTAGTTCGTGGAGTTCTCAACTCTCGTTGGGCCTTCGTATATCTGACCAAGGTCACTCCAGAATCATTCCCAGTTAGGGTTGCCAGATCCAAATTGTCATCCAACTGGACATTTGAATAAAATATCTGGACATGCACAAATAAAACCGCGGCATGTTTATGGACAAAAAAAAAGTAAAAATTTATTTATTATGTATTAATTTAGCCATCAATAAAAAGAAGAAAAATAAACGTATTAGAAATACAATTCATTTCATTTACACATGAAAATATAACACCAGTCAAGTCTACTATGTATATGTACCTTTGTGCTAGCGTAGCAATTTTTGTTATAATTATTTTAGAACTTTTATCCTTCTGTCGAGGACTTCATGCTATTCATTCAAACATTGCCAATCGAGACTATTACAGCTTAAACCATAAATTACGTTGTGAAGTACTGGTGAACACAGCTTGTTATGCTAAGGATTTGTATGAAGTTTCCATGTATTTTATAATAAATCAGTCAGAGTAGACATCCAGCAATCGAATGCAAGTGCTTTTCCGAAGCCAGAGTTCCGACTGGACAATATTTGCATGTGAGCGCGTAACCGTATTTTTTTTTACCCAATCCCAGAGAGTCCCAGTGATTGTTTGGGAAACTTGTATGCTGCTACTACAACCACAATGTATCTATGAGTTTAGTAAGAGTGTAGTAAAAATTTTGTATTTTAAAAATTGTATGACAAAACGTATTTTCTATTGGTTATGTTTTGAAAATAATCTTTTAATTGAAGTAAATCTAAGCACTATTTATTGCATGGTTAAATCAAGAGCCATTATCTAATAATGTCTAATACATATTTTTTAAACGAATTTGTTAAGTTTTGGTTTGTTTTATTATTATTCTTTTTTTTTTAATTTGGGAACTATCAGCAATGTAAAGTGTATTCCCCGCTACGTGGCACCAGAATTGGTTTTTGAAAATACCCGACTCACAGCGCCACGTAGTTGAAAATAAGCATCTAATCGTGGTTCTTCTGAACTTTAGAAATAAAAGAGACCCCTATGCTTTGTATTTTGACGTTTTCGAATGCCAGAGTGCCAGGCCATTTGCTCAGTTTGGTGAATTCCTATAATGATTAAATCGATTTAGATTTTTTGTTGAAATGTGGTACCTACATAAAGGCCCAACTAGAGGGTGGGGGTCGAGAGTTTTCCTAAAATTTACTTGGCAGATAAAAATTCTAATATTTTACATTGATGAATTTGATTATTTAATATCCCACATAAACTCAACAAGTAAGTATGTAGTGATAACGTTCGAATTTCATTTTTTTTTTTTGTAAGGGAGGAGGGTGGGCCGACACATGTTTAGTACGGTGACCGGAGTTTCCTTTACGGCCCTGCCTACATACATTAATTAAAAATGAAATGTGACTGCAATCTAACAGCCCGATTCTGTGCCCTTGATAGCTTCAAAATGTTTATTTTTTCAGTGTGTTAGAATAATTATTTTAAAGACATTTTTTCGAATATTCGACCAACGATACCACCCGTAGTAGCTCGCTTGAAAATTAATTTTCACTGTGTGGACACTAAAAATCCTTTACAATTGAGACTTTCTGCTTCGATAAAGCTTTACTTGGAGTAACAAACTCCGGCAAGATTGCGCCCATTTTTGAAGATTCGAATCATTGATGTGAATATTCATCGTTATAATTTATTCATTCGACAAATCTTTTAGACGATGTTTTTTTTTTTTTTATTTAAATAATGGTGACTACATTCGGTGTCAAAAATTGTTTGAAATACAACATTTAAATAAGAAATATTTGACTAAAACGAGTTATTGACTATTCAATAATAATCTTTAAACGATGTATGAACAGTGGCCATATTTTTACAAAAAAGGAAGCATATTTTCCGAGCAAAAATAATTCGAAAAAAAATACACATATATATGCATGTATATATATGCATATTAGGGTGGCCCAAAAATACACGTGAAAAAGTAAAGTCGGAATTTTTATGCTCTCACCCCCTAGGATTATTCTATACTGAAAAAATATACTCCTATTTTTTTATTATGCAATCAAAAAATATTTAGAGGTCGCTCAAAGCGCCCAATTTTCCATGTATTTTGTATGGGGAATAAAAACGTATTTTCGTAGAAATGGTATAGGTTTATTAAAACTCAATATTTTTCTATCGGAGAACTCTGTTTCTCTGCAACAGATTCCCAATAATAATAATCCATTGTTTATTTAACCATTTTTTCATCGCAACTATAAGTTATAGGTCCGCCAAAAACCCACAAGAACCCCGAAAACTTCAATGGGGGACCAATAAAAAATCGTTAGTATTAAAAAATGGTTAAATAAACAATTGGGTATTATTATTGCAAGTCTCCTGAAGATAACCAAAGTTTATCGATCGAAAAATATCGATTTTCAAGAATTCTATACCATTTCGACGAAAAGTTGTTTTTTTTTCCATATAAAAATACATGGAAAACTTTGAGCGCTCTGAGCAACCTCTAAAAATTTTTTGATTTCAAAATAAAAAAAATAGGGGTATACTTTTTTCGATATAGAACAATCCTACAGGGTCAGAGCATTACAATTCAGACTTTACTGTTTTTGGACCACCCTAATGTATATCCATATACAAATTCAAAATACTACAGGTATCCATTAAACCATTTTCACCCGTTATTTTCGCCCACAGGTGATCAAACATCCTGCGTTGTTTGTATGTGCGATTTTGAGTTGCGACAAGTGCTACGTGTGCTACCTTGCTCACACGAATTCCATGCTAAATGCGTTGACAAATGGCTAAGGGTAAGTAAAGTACATATGTACATTAGATTGCATACAAAAAAAAATCGGTACTGTTTTTCCACTGGAACTATAAAATCTTTTATATTTTAAGACTTCCACCAAAATATCTCGCAAAAATATTAAGATTTACGTTAGCTGGACCGATTTGAAAATATGTACCTCCGAAAATTGAGTTTTTTTTATTAATAAAAACAGTTTTTTTAATATCTTTTGAAAAAAATTACCTCAGATGACTAAACAGTTTAAGCTCAAAAAGTTTGCATAAAAATATTTTTTAAAAATTTTCTACGGAATCATAATAATGAGATTTTGATGCTGTTTTTGAACTTTTTTCAATGACTGGTGTAAGAAAAACTCGAATAATTCAGCAAAAATTTAAACTTATGAAGTATCATTGGTAAGTTATTTCATCCTTTTAATTTCTTTGCGAATAAGCTCATTCAAAGTATGAAAGAGGAAGGTTAGATAAACCAAAGTCATTCCATGTTGAATTAATAAGAAGTGTTGGTATTTGATACAGAAAAAATCGGAACGTGAATGAGTTTCTTTTTTGCAAAAAAATAAAAAAGGGTGAGAAAATACCTTTCCACTGATACCTCATAAGTCTATATCGGTAAAGTTTTGGAGCAGTTATTGAAGTTTTTCTTACACAAATTTTTGGAAAAAAAGTTAAAAAGCAGCATCAAAAATGTATTATTATGATTCTGTTGATAAAAATTTTTAATATTTTTATATAGATTTTTTAAGCTTAAACTGTTTGTGAGACTTTTTCATAACATATTACGTATTATTTTGGCTTTACCGGATTTTCGAGCCTTCTTTTGAACTTCGGAACGCGAAAAAAAGAAGTGCCTTAATCCTTTCCGAAACAAGGCATTTTTAATTTCTCTTGCTGAAAATATGAGTTTTTATAAAAAGTAGACTTAGCAACTTTTCACTCTAAGGTAGCGATATTTAATATCCTCTACCTGCAAAAAAACTAGTAGCTGAGATCTATCTGTAGTAAAATTTAATTATATCTTTCTGCATTTTAGTCAAATCGAACCTGTCCCATTTGCCGTGGTAATGCATCCGACTACTTTGAGAATCCCGAGCAACAGCAATCACAAGCCCAACAAACACAGGCACAGGTGCAGCCACAGCAGACGACAACACAACAGGCACAGCCTGCGACTACAGTTCAACCTTTGGTCGCGGAGCAGTCAACAGCGCAACATCAGCAACAACAATCACAAACACAAGCAACATAGGCGCATTAAACGCAACCACGCAATAAAAGTCATTAAAGAAAAAATGGTACTTCAGGAAATGAGAAGAATAGATTATACAAAGTGAATACCAAATAAAAAGTAATTTAACGAAAAAGGATATTATTGAAAAAATAACCAGATAGCAAGCACTCTTCTAACGTCCACGTCCAATAGATGTATTTGTACTTCTTCGTGTTTCCAATGAAGCCACCTTTCAAATAGAAACTTATTACAATCCAAATGCAAAGAATATCTCTATAGGTTAAATACGTATGCATGTATGTATATTTAAATATGTGTGTGTGCATGTCTAGAAAGAAACCGAATAAACCATAAACATTCGTAGATAGGAGTTAGTTGCTTGGCCCACTTCGTGGCTATCACTTTTCAGAAGTATAATATTACATAGCTACTCGTACATACATATATACATATGTACATATGTACTAGAATGCACATGCAATTGTAATTGTCAAACTGTAAAGGATATTTCTATGCAATTGTTATTAAGGCTAATATGTTGAAGCGAATCACAATTAAATAATGCAATCTTTGAATTAAAGGTAATGTAATAAATACACATAGTTAAGCTGTATGTTCAACTACATATGTAGATTGGTATGTGTGTATGTATATACATAGATACATACTATGTATATTTATCTTAAAAGAATTTTCCAAAAAATGTTTTTCTAGCATTCTAGTGTGATATGTAACTGCGCAAGCTTGTTATTATAATAATTCATGTACACCACAAAAACGAAATTTATAAGCAACAAGGAAAACAGTCTCACAGATTTATTAAAAAAACAAAAAAAAAACAATAGAATATAAATAAATAAAGCAAAAACGAATTCTCTGGTATACATAGTACATACATATGCACCAACGTATTTTTATAAGTTAACATCACTTCAATAATTTATCCCAAAAGGAAAAATTTAAGCGCGTAACTGAAATTTTTTCAATATTATATACTCAATATCGCGGTGTGTAGTCTTGTAAGCAACAAAAGCATAATTATATGTACATACATATGTATGACATACAAAATGTTGCGCCCAGTAAAATTACTTCAATGAAGTTTTAGTTGGGAAGGTAGATTTTATATCAATCTGTATGTACATAGTAAACAAAAACGGGACAAAAAGATTGGTCGCAAAACACAATTGTATTTACAGGACATTTTCCATTTATGTGTATGGGGATGTGTAACTACATATGTAGGTGCAGGTGCACAAGGACGCATACTTGCATACATATATATGTACATACATACATATGTATATCCAAAGCTCTAGCCAATGAATCAATTTTTATCCAAAGTTGGTTCAAAGTATTATAAATTATCGGCAATGTTGGTTTTAGCGCATACATTGATTTCAGAAAATTAAACGAATTGTTTAGCTAAAAGTTCACCGATATGACTGTGAGTGAATTTGCCAAACACATATGTGTTTGTGTACATACATATGTATGTATCTATGTACATATGTAGCCTCCATTCATTGTTAGAAACACAATCATTCACTTACATAAAAACATTCGGTATGCTCATTTCCTTGAGTTTAAAACAGCAGAAGAGTGAGAAAAAAATGCCTTCAGTACTACAACGAATATGCAGCTTTTCCGAGTAGTTATTTACATAATTGTTTACTAAATAATTACTTCAACTAGGCCACTCGGCAAGGATTTTCTATTTATTATTTCTGTGGCCATAAGCAATAACCGCCTAAGTCGAAAAACATGATTTCGAGAAAAAACGTTTTAGACATTTGGATTGCAATGTTAACTTTATGGCGAAACCAAAATATGTTCGGCTATAACTTTTTAAATAGCCTGGCTGGCGAGATGTGGATTTCACTTAAACATTGAATAGTAGTTGCAGAATACCTTAGCATATATAACTAAATTCTTTTTTAAGTCGACTTAGGCGGTTATTGCTTATGATCACAGAATTATGTACATATGTATGTATGGATACAATCAACGTTATGCATACAACAACAAAAAAAAACACCAATTTCCAACCAAGTTGATGTTCAATGTGTGTTTTGGATACGGATTTATGCTCATAAGTCAAATTACTCCTTTAAATGCCTTTTACAAAAAAAAAAGGAAAACAAAAAAAACATAACACGAAAACCATAGTAAACCTCTAAAATTACTTTATTACTAAATAATTATAAACATACATACTACATGTACGCATACTGAGCAATATAGTCGTCAGTTTGCAAATAATTATTCTTGGCCTTCGTCTCTCTCTTAAAAAGCAACCGTAAAACCATTAAAAACCAGCTATACTATTCAGGTGTTCACAGTTCGTTTCAAATCGTGTCTCAAAATGTAGACGTCTACATACATATTTAGCATCAAACTGTGAGCACTCCTTTCTAGCAATCGTCACAAAAGTGTACTCGTGTTGCCAGACATTTCTTCTTTGTGTCCATTCTTTATATGTCGCCTTTCGCTTTTGGTTCTAAAAAATTGTAATTGTTTAACTTAATTACCAATTCCTAATATTTGTTACTTCTTTTCCTTGATTTGTTTGTTTTCATCAGCCATTGCGCTCATATTGCAATTTTGTATGGGAAACAACAACACCACAGGTTTTACGGGTAAAAAATGTCTGCAAGCGTAGACGTCTACATTTTCAGATACAATTTGGAACGAACTGAACACCGCATATGTACGTACGTGTACTACTTTTTGATTAATCAATGGCATGCTTATACATATGTACATACATATGTGGAAACAGGTAAACAAAAATTTCACGCTTGACTTTTCAATATTGACAATTTAAAAAAAAAGAAAGATGTTAAAGATTACTTTATTGCAGAAATAATAACTCATACACTCAAAAGTAAAGAAATAACATTTTTTTGCTATCCTTAAAGCGATAAAAAAATTACGTTATACGATAAGTTTTCCGCTTGGTGCAAAAGTGGGCTAATGATATTTTGGGCTTAAATGTGCACATTTCTTTATGCTAATTTATAATGCATTACATTTGATTTGCCTGCGAATAGTAGCGCAAGAAGGTATAAAGCATATTTCCATAAACTGAAGAAATATGCAGTTTTTAATTTGTCCTTTTCTCCGGCTCCGTAAAGCATTTACTAATATTTTTATACCCTACTGTATGTACATACATATATAAAACACACAAATTTATGGCCATAGTTCAGTGAGGACCTCATCCATTGGAGCCAAGTTATATGATTGGTTCTAAAGGACCCTTAGAAATTGCGTTTCTTTATTTGCATTAACATACCGATCTTAAAAACGAGGTTTTTAGTTCAAAAAAACAACTTACAGCAATTTACTTAACAGCACGCACAGTGGTTTAACTAATTAAATAATTTTTGGGGTGGAGAGTTACAAAAAATTATAGCACACCCTAATGTACATGTGATTTACATAGACGTAGAATTAGAATTTCCTTAAATTTTATTCAAATTCTTTGCTGGTGCTTCCGACCAAATAAGCACACCTTTAAATGCACTTAAACGGATACAGTTTTGAATGCATGCAAGTTGCAGCTGAAAAAAAATTATAATTTAATAAAAAACTAAAACCTCCATATTATAATTGCCATTCGTACTGTTATCAGGTATGTAACTTGAGAATAGAAATCGCTGCATCTTTTAGGCGCATCAATATTACATAGTTACATCCCGAGCTAATATAAAAGGAAGGTAAAATAATAATAACAATAAAAAGACACTTCAATATTTCTGTACAAATAAATACTTACATACATACATATGTGCACATAAATCAGAAATATTTCTGCAATAGTAAGAAAAATTAGAGAAATACCTAAAAACCAAAATCTCCATTCAAAACATATGAAAATCAACAGTAAACTGAATGAACTGGGGGTCACTTTTTGTGTTACACCTTACCCCAATTGAAAGTGCTTTCCTACCTGCTTTTCAAAAGCATTGAAATACGCTTGAAATATCTGTCGTGTTCTTTGACTGCATATGTACATACATACATATGTAAGTACGTATGTAGGTGTGTGAAAATTAATATATGTATGTATAGGTGGTAGTTGTAACAAAGTTAATATGCATGCATATAAATAATAAAAAAAAAATGGTAAAAGACTAAAAAAATATTATTAAGAAATTAAAAGAAAAACAGTATATTAAATGTATTATTCAACTGCATTATAATATATATGTATATGTAAGTATGTTTATGTAGCCTAATATGCAGCAATATTTATATATATGTATGTATGTATGTATATTCTCATCCCTGTGAGCAGTGTGTATGCAATATTCATAAAAAAAGAAAATAAGACGATAAACAATCAAAGCAAAAAATTAGAGCACACTATTTGAAATTTTAGAAACATAAATACAGATCTTTTTAGATAAGCACATACATACATATATTACATTATACTATTCAGGTATGCATGTATCCATGTAAAGTCAAATGTATTTAATTGTCTCACTAAGCATTAGCGTGGGCCGCGAAAATCCGCTTTTTTATTTAGAATTTCGATAGGTAATAGAAAAAATATGGTACAGTATGCTCTAAAAACCAAATCTGTGAGAAACATGACAATTTTTGGTCAATATCTTAGGCTCGCCCAAGTCCATCAAAGTTCAATGTGCTCAAACAATAACAATTAATAAATACATTAATTAATAAATTTTTTAATAAAATTGCAAGTATCTTCGAAAGTATTAGTCCTACATAATTTGGTATATGGACCCTTTTTCTAGAGAATCGAAGTAAGCTAAGAAATTTTTTTTTTTTACCGCTTGAAATTTGATGGACTTGGGCGAGCCTAAGATATTCACCAAAAATTTTCATCTTTCACACAGATTGTTTTTAGAGCATAATGGACCATATTTTTGCTATTACCAATCAAAATTCTAAAAAAAGCGGATTTTCGGCCCACGCTACTAAGCATGTTGAAAAATTTAATAAAGGAAGCAAAAAATATGCTTAACGCAAATAATACCTATATACAATACTTATGTACATCAAATATATACATATGTATGTATGTACGTACATATGGACGTACATATGTACATATATTCTTATACATATTAGTAAGCAATAGTGTTGTAGTCATACGCGTTGAAAAGATGAAATTGATTCCTGCCCTCCATTTGCATATTGAACACAAGATTTATAATATATTTAACTAAGAGTTTATTACTAAATAAGAACTAAGCGTATTGTATCGTGTAATCAAAGAGAAACTCAAATTAAATAATTACATTTAACGCAATAAGCCACGTTTCTAGCAACCAACACCACATAAATACACACATTACGAGAGATAAATTAAATAAAAAAAAAATTAAAAAAAAAAGTTTTCTTAAGAAATGTGCTCATTGTATGATTGAATATTAAAATAAAAGCAAGAAAGATACATGCATGCTTAGATGCAATTAAAATAAAGCTTTAAAAAATATGCCATCACAAGTTAATGATCAAGTTTCTTACTTATATGTATATAATCCGGCTAGACTCCACATCGCATACACCGCTCTCAGAAGAAATTGCTCAAATGAACTTTTCAGTTTTGAAATTAGCGAAGCTACTTTAATCTCGACATAGTGAGTAACGCCAAGGAAACAATTTTATAGCCTATTCCCACCAAAGGCTTAACAGCAGTTAAGAGCTCAGAGAAGTGCAAATAATTGCAAGATGGGGTCATGGGCAAAATTTTTATTATTAAGTTTTGTTTTTTTCCTTTCATTTGCTTCTACTTAATAGATGGAATTACCCCCATCGAGTTGTAATCTCCGTTTTTCAAACGGCATAAA